TAGAGGAAAGGTTTTGACTTGGGCCTCTCTTGTCATGGTAAAGAGTCTGAAATCATTGAATTGCTCACAATTCAATGTTCGTCGACTTCTGATAAAAATCGATTGTTTTAATTATCAATCGCTGCAAATGAGATTTCCTTGCCTAAAAACACTTTTCTTTTAACAAGGCAAGAGACAAAATGGTATGCGATGAAAATCAAGATCCGTACGGTATGAAACAGATCCTCTCTAGGGGGAGCATTCAAAAGCTAATTTAGGTAAAGTGTCCGAACATCAATTTTACTGAATAGCTCGTCATTGTTCGTTAGGCTGCCCTGAACCTTGTCGATGCAAAGTTCTGAAAGGTAACATGAAGGGCTTTATACGTGTTGATTGTGAACAGAAACAGCTGAGATCAATTCCACAGAACGTTCCAAGAGCTACTGTAAAACTGTAAGTAGTTAACAGCGAATGTTCAATGGTCAAACATTTGGTGGCAACAGCTGAAAAATCAATTTCGCCCATATTTCAAAGTGAAGTAGGTCTCAATAGGAAATAAACCACTGCATACTTCATTTGGCTGAATATCGATTCATTTTCGAGAAAATCGATAACAACTGAATTCCGCCGCCAAAATGTGGCTTTTGAGGCTCAAAATTTCAGACGCATCTCGGAGCGTCGCGTCACAAAATGAAAAAACCTGGATTGATAAAAGTACCAAATCTTGAAAAACAACATCAAAACATATGCTGATTGCAATTTGAGCAATTCTTTACCATTTATTTACACAATCTACTTGAATTTTTCCGACCTACTTCCAACTAGATTAAAAATAGGTCAAAAATAGCCCGTGATTTAACTATGTGCTATACAAAATAGTTGTGGAGGCGCGGTGGCCTCATGGTTGGTGCGCTCGACTCTGGATCGAGTGGTCCGGGTTCGAGCCCCGCCCGGGACATTGTGTTGTGTTCTTAGGCAAGACAATTTGCTTTCACAGTGCCTCTCTTCACCCAGGTGTTTAAAGAGAGTCTCAATGGGGTGCTGGCTTTTACGGTTATCGGCTAAAATTTTGGCTCTTTTACGGCTATCGGTTAATTTTTTACAGTTACGGTTAACAAAAAAGTTAAAAATTAATTTCTTTGGTTCCAAAAGGTTAAATATCAATAAGTCCGTGTTTTATTTAATCTTTAACGCAAAATAAAGGTGTTATGGTCATCTCAGGCTTAACTGAGTTATTTAATAACATTTTTATTTAATTAAAAAATTTTTTACTTTAATTAAATTTAATTTAATTAAAAAAATTTTATTTTAATAACATTTTTATTTAATTAAAAAATTTAATATCTGATAAATCGTACCACTTCTAATATTATTTTACGCAGTTATTAAAGAAAACAAAAACAGAAACAGAAAACAAATTTCAGGGTCCAGTGTCTTTTACGATAGCGAAGGACTGTAGAGATCGATTGTCTGCAGCAGCTTACAAATTGACAATGTTTACCGGCAACTTTACTTTATTAGTATTGCCCAAGGGGCTTTTCAATACTTAAGGTATGGGTCGCACTTGGGCAAAGTTTTCAACTTTGCCGGCAAAAAAACCACAGAAAATTTGAAACCGCAACCGGAAAGCAAACTTTTGGTTTCAACTATCAGGGTCGCACTAGGTGAAAAAAATGTCAGTGATGACACTTTGATAAACCAGACACACGTTTATCGACGTGNGGCCAAGTGAGGTCAAGGGAGACTACCGGGGATCCTTGAAACGAGTTTGGCCTATAAACGTATGAACTACATGTACGACATGTACGGAGTCAAAGTCAGCAAAATAAGAAATGAAACAGGTCATAAGTAAGTTTAGAACCTTCCTTAAAATTAAGAAATTTAGTGAACAATTTTTTTTACGGTTACCTCTTTTGACCCCATTTACGGCTAGCGGTTAAAATTTTTCAAATTTTACGGCTATCGACTAAATTTTTGGCCATTTTACGCCTATCGGTTAACCCCATTAAGACCCTCTTTAAATTGGGTACCGGAAATTTAATGCTGGGAGTAACCCTGCGATGGACTGGCATCCCACCCAGGGGGAAGTAGAAATACTCCTAGTCGCTTCATGCTACAGAAACCGGAAATAAGCACTGGCCTAATGGGCCACTAGGCTCGTAAACAGACTTTACCATAAAAAATAATTAACTGGAAATCTGGGTTTCGGAAGGCGGAAGGTAGTTCTTTTGGATCTCCAAAGAATATATTGGGGAAATGATTCGGGGTGATTTCATCAAATTTTGAAATTGCATAAAACGCGCCGATTCGACGGTGTCGTCAATTAGTCGAAAATGTAGACATACTCACGAAAACTCAATTTTTTCGCATTTTACGTTCAATCTACTGCTTATTTAACATAATATGCTCTTATCTTCCATGTTTCTGAGGATTGCAGTCCTAAAACTGTTGCATCTCCCTCACAATAGTGATATTACCTGGAAGGATAGTCAACGACTCCTAATAATGATTATTCACAAAGCGTAGTCCAAGTTGTCTGTTGGGATGCTACGGGAGATCTACACCGCACTTGAACTAGACGTTTCTTCACTAACCAGCAAGCGGAAGCAGCTCCATATAGATATTTTTCAAGAATTTGTTGAAAAGTATGGACGAAATATCTAATGTAAACCTTGAACTCCCTGCCTGCGCAAACACCCGCGCCCTGTCGGCAAATCTAACGGATTACTAAAGTACCTTTCTGATCCGCTATAGCTAAAGAGGGAAGTGATTTTTAGGCCGTCTATAAAAAGAATTCATTTACTTCTTAGATTTAATTAACTTGGAAGGAAAACATGGCTTTGTTTACTCTTTTATTTGCTAGAAAAATATAGATGTTAGCTTTTACCCAGTGGGCGTGAAAATTCTGTTCTGATCAGACAACAGGCCTATAATGTGTCTTTACACATCATCTACACTTTATAATATATCGCCATGTAATTCATTGATGGCTTTGAACTCGAACGTATTAGAGGGGGGATAAATGACTTCTTACTTGGCTTGCTCCTTCGACAAGACTGAGTACCAAATAACTTACTAGTTGGGCTGATTCTCTCAAAGCCTCTCTTTCAAATACACAATATCAGTACAATTAACGCTCGGCGAACATGTATATTACTTTAAGTCCTTAGGCATACCGACCCGCACTCAAGTCTGCTGTATCAGCTGGTCATAGTTAGTAGAGGGGACTGGTTAGGAAACGCGGTAAGCTTCAAAGGGCCGGCCTATTGTCTGTCCCCTGAGCTTCGATAGAACGTCACGTGACCAATGACCCTGCACAGAACCAAAACAACATGGCGGACATGAACGACTTATTTTTCTTCGGCGACGAATTTAATGCCATATTGGAACTTTGGAAAACGAGGAAGAATTACAAGAGCACTTTGTCGAAGCAGCTGACTCTCTAAGTCTTTGAGAAGCCTTTAAAACGTTATTTTCGCCCAAAAACTTTGTAGTTATTGATGCCCTTAGCAACGGCATCGGTCGTAGTACAACATTTTTTTACTGAAAGTCTTTCGATTTTGAGGTTCAATACGAAGAGGGAATTTTTTGCGAGTTGTGCCAAAAGAAATGCAAGACTAAGGCTGGATTAAAAAGACATAAGACAGTAAAGCATAAGGAGGAACAAGCGCGGGGAAATTAACCGACTCAAGAAGCCAAATTCACTGCTGAAGACTTCGAAGCGTTATCAATGAAAGCACGAGATAAAATAATTGAAAGAAAAATCTACCCTCAAAGCGTAAGAGAAGAGCTACGAAGATAAACGATTGCCTGGGATCAAGAAAATATGGACTTCTCAGAAGTAGAATCCATGTATATGCGTTTGGTTAAAACTGGAAATGCAGAACAATTCTACTCGAAGTACTATTCAAGAATAGGCCTCAATTCAACAAAGATTTTTGTGGGGTTGTCAAGTAATGCGGCAATATTGCTTAGTACCAAAGTGGCTGAGTGTTTGATAGCTCACAGCAAACAGAAAGGTGAATCACCAAATCCCAATACCCCCACTAAACTGTGTGATAGAGAAATGGCAGGGTTAC